CAAAGAGAGAATGTTGGGGAACCTCAGCAGTTCTGGCAGCATCTGAAGAGAGAGAAACAGAGTTAAAATTTGAGGTTAGTATAATTTTTCTTCAGAGCTGGAGAATTGGGGTTCCAAGAAGAGTCATACTGGACTCAAAAGATTAATTCTGTTTGTGTCACAACAGATACTGTCAGACATGCTGAATTTCTCCAGCATTACTCTGTGTTTGTTGCAGTGTGTAATCACTGGGCAGCAAATAAGGACAGGCACAAAAAGCTGTAAACAAAGGAGTAAATGAAGTATTAGTGTCATTTTTTTGGGTCACATTATACTTAGTGTACATATTGCCACCACTAAATAGGTCCCCAGACTTCTGAGTTGAGCCCACAATTTTGTTTATTTTGGCAGGTAGAATGCATGTAACTGCAAAATAATATAAAGGTATACTTTTAATTGTGAAGAAACACACTGCGAAGAAATTATGCTCAATGCATGCTTCGGTTTAAACACTCTCCTCAGACTACTCAGAGTTCAGCACAAGCCTCACAAAAATTAAAGGGACTACTAGGCTCCCGAATTAGCTTCAGGTTGGCACTTATGAAGTAAGGCATCATACCGCCCCACATTCCAGACCTCTGGCTACTCCATGATATCTCGCTTCCCTCTGGTGCTGTGCAAGATAATGGGACAAACCTCAAAACTCTCCCTCAGAAGAACCAACTGCTTAAGTGATGGTTGTCATAGAATGCCTAAATGAACTAAGAACAATACAGCATAGGAACAGGTCCTTCAGCCCTTCAAGCCTGCGCCCACACATTTTGCCCTTCCAGACTAAAACTGTCTTCATTTATAGGATCCGTGTCCCTCTATTCCCTTCCTTTTCATGTCCTTGTCCAGGTGTTTTTCAAATACCGCTGTTGTATCTGCTTCCACCACCTCCTCTGGCAGCGCATTCCAAATACTCACCACCCTTTGTGTGAAAAAATTGCCTCGCACATCTCTTTTAAACTTCCCCTCTCACACCTTGAATCGGTGTCCCTTAGTAATTGAGGCCTCCACCCTGGGAAAAAGCCTCATACTTTACACTCTATCCATACCATTCACAATCTTATAAACTTTTATCAGGGAGCTCCTCAACCTCCTGTGTTCTCGTGAAAACAAATCCAGTCTGTCCAACCTTTCTTCATAGCTAAAATCCCCCATATCAGGCAACATCCTGGTAAACCTTTTCAGTACTCCCTCCAAAGCATCCATGTCCTTCTGGTAGTGTGGTGAATAAAACTGTATGCAAAATTCCAAGTGTAGCCTAACTAAAGTTCTACAAAGCTGCAGCATAACTTGTCTATCCTCACACACAATGTCCTTTCCAGAGAAGGCAAGCATGCTATAAGCCATTTTTACTACCTTACCTACCTGCACTGCCACCTTCAGTCACCTGCGGATCTGCACACCCAAATCCCTCAGTATATCAATACTTCTAAGTATTCTGCCATTCACTGTATAACTTCCACCTGAACTAGACCTTCCAAAGTGCATCACCTCACAACTGTCCAGATGAAATTCCCTTTGCCATTTTTCTGCCCCCAACTGATTTAGATTGTCTGTATCCTCTGACACTACCCACAACTCCAACAATCTTTGTATCGGCCGCAAACTTACTAATTAGATGAGCTACTTTTTCCTCCAAATCATTCATATAATTCATGAACAGCAGAGGACCCAACACTGATCCCTGTGGACCATCACTAGTCACAAACCTTCATTCTGAAAAGCATCTTTCCATGGCTTCTCTGTCTCCTATGACTAAACCAGTTCTGTACCCACCTTGCCACCTTGCCCCGAATACCATGTGTCTTTACCTTTTGTACCAATCTGCCATGATGGACCTTGTCAAAGGCTTTACTGAAGTCCGTGTAGATAACATCAACCGCTTTTCTGTCATCAATCATCGTTGTCACCTCCTTGAAAAACTCGGATCAAGTTAGTGAGGCACAGCTTTGCATGACGTGCACACTTAATATGACCCACCTTCAATAAAAACCCCACTGGCTCTAAGTAGACAGCAAACTGATCTCAATACCAATTAAAGACTGTCCCACGTGAAAATCTGAACTTGAATCAATTTGGCACCAGAGGTGGGTTTATGGCTTGAAAACAATCCCTGTTCTTGTTTCCTGCCTCGGTGAGGAGAATTCAACCTAATAAGTTTTCTGCAATGTTACAGTTTAGTTACTTATCTACGTAAAGGTTTAAGTCACTTGTATGTGTGATGAGATCAGTTCCCTTCCATCGAAGCAGCACAAGTTGACAAACAAAATACAGCATTTTCTAAAACTGCTGAGCCTCAGATAATTTGGCTTAAAGGCAGTTAAGACATTCTCAAGATGGTTGTTGATTCTCTTATCATGGAGAGGGGTGAGGAATAGCGTATGTGCCTTGAAAAGGAAAAGAATGATTTTAATCAAACTCTATATTCTCCTGTAAGGCAGCTTAGTTTGCTTAGAACCCAAAATAATTGCAGTGGAAATGGACTTTAATCAGTTCCATATCAGTAGGCATCAGCTCAGGAGTACATCAGTGAAAGTGACATTTAAACTGGAGGTGAACAAACAATTTTATTGCACAACTTCTTTTCTACAAATGCAGAAACTGTCTAAAAGGATTTGGAATCCTTACAACAAAAATAACAAACATAATTCCAACAATTTCTTTGTAGGGATTCAAAGACAAATTTTAAATTTAATAACAAATAATTAGCCAAAACAGATGGAGTTTCACGTATGACAAAATGAAGGATGGTCAAATTATTTCTGAAAATTATATTTTCTTCAGTTTGGAATATCTAAAATAATTTTACTGGTAACCAATGTGTTTAAAAAAAGGGGCTTGTGGCTCAGTGGTAGTATCCCTAGCTCTGAGCTAGAAGGTCCACATTCAAGTTCCATCTGCTCTAAAGGTGTGTCATAACATTTCCAAACAAGTTGTTTACAAATATTTATAACTCCTTGCTTTCATGTGCTATGCAAGTATTAATAAAATCCAGAATACTGTCACTTGTGCAAAATCACGAAGCAACTTCTGGCAACTGTACAAGCACAGTTAAACACATAAATCAGGAAATTTCTTGTCCTGTTCCTTTAAGATCTGCACTAAAATACATGTCATCATCACCTGATGTAGTATTCAATATGCTGAAGGACAAAGTTTGACACTTCCACTTCCATTTAATATGCATTGAATGCACCAAAATAAAGAGCTTATCCAATCCAGTATATTATTCTTAAATAGCGTGGTCTGCTTTAATTGCTGCCAAACAATCTCTCCAATACTGAAATGAACTTTTACACACATGAACTTTCATTCCTTTAGCTTTCCATTATTGGTGGATTTTTAAAACCTAAACACATCTTATTTTACTTTATGTCTTTCATTTCTGTTAATGTAACATTACTTTCTCTCTCTTTATTACTTTTTGTGGCTGATTGACATTGAATTCAGTATTCTTGTTGCCATGTTCTCTGTGTTGCTCATTAACAATTCTTCAATCCAATTAATTTTTTTCCTTTATTCATTCATGGGATGAGGGCGTCGCTGGCTCGGCAGCATTTATTGCCCATCCCTAACTGCTCAGAGGGCAGTTAAGAGTCAACCACATTGCTGTGGGTCTGGAGTCACATGTAGGCCAGACCAGGTAAGGATGGCAGTTTCCTTCCCTAAAGGACGTTAGTGAACCAGATGGATTTTTCTCACAATTGGCAATGGATTCATGGTCATCATGAGACTGTTAATTCCAGATATTCTAATGATTAACTAAGTAAATAGAGTTGCTGCTTCTACTCAGACAGAATGAAGATATTCCTTTGAGGATGTTCTGTTTATGATTAATTGATTGGCAACAAATTGCCATGCAAATGCCCATATAAAGTGTCTAGGCAAGTGCAAGTCTAAAGAGTTGCTCAGAGCAAAACCCAACCCAATAATTCACGTTGAGCCTCCTCATTTTTCTCAATTTATTTTGGGCAGATGGGAACAGGAGTAAGCCATTCAGTTCTTCAAGCCTGGTTGATCATTCAATTATAGTTACTTTAACAAACCTGTTCAGACACTGTATGACAAGTAGATGGGACCTGAACCCAGACCTCCTGGTTCAGAGGTAGGGACATTACCACGACACCCGCCAGGGCATGGTGGCTCATTGGTTAGCACTGCTGCCTCACAGTGCCAGGGACTCAGGTTTAATTCCACCCTCAGGCAACTGTCTGTGTAGTGTTTGCATGCTCTCCCCGTGTCGTGTCAGTTTCTGCTGGGTGCTCCGGTTTCTTCCCATAGTCTAAAGATGTGCAGACTAGGTGGATTGGCCACGCTGAATTGCCCATAGTGTTCAGGGATGTGCAGACTATAGATTAGCCATGGGAAATGCAGGGTTACAAGAGTAGGTTGGGGGTGTGGATCTGGATGAGATGCTCTTCCGAGGGTCGATGTGGACTTGATGGACCGAATAGCCTGTTTCTGCACTTTAGGGATTCCATGATTCACCACAAGAGCCCTTACCATTCGATTATGTAATAGCTATTTATGGTGCAACTCAGCTTACCTATGATTGTTCTAAAGAACCATATAGTAGAGGTGGCCCTTCAACCCATCAAGTCTGTACCAACAAATCTACGTAAATCCACACTATTCTTACTTTCCAGTGCTTGTCCCACTGTTTTGTATATTATGTTATGCCATTTCAAGTATCATTATCAAACAACAAGATGTTGATCTCAATATCAAAAGCTTCTAATTTTAGACTGCACAGACTTTCCGCATCTAATCAAGTTGGCAATTTTCCATTTGTCACGAGCATCCAGCTTTCACTTCTTTTCCCAAAATTATATATACTGTAGTGTATTTAATGAACAGTATGGTACTGAATAGAGCAATCTTCCAGAAAAGCTTTGTTGTTCTGAAATAATAACTTTCCTTAATTGCATAATCATGTCTAAGCACAGCAATGTAACCAATCTGATTCTTGCCTCTTGATTGGCTGTATTTAACTTGGCAGTCAACTCTTCCCGCAGGTTTTCCATTTGCTGTTTTAACTGATTTTTCTCGTCTTCCATTCGCAGCCGTTCCTTCTCAAGATTTTGGTCCATTTCCTAAAAGGGGAAGGATATCGTTAGAGATTATGGTTTTTAAATATGATTTCATGCACACATATATATTTCTCCTGCAGGATTTCAAAATAGTCATTTTCAGGGTAGACTTTAGTGAATTAAGATGAATTATCAAACTTTTACTTTGTCTACAGAAGGGATTCCAAACTGAGTTACTGCATCCAATGGAGTCAAGAGCAAAAATTTTCAGGTCACAAATTCTGAGGCAGCAACGGCTATTGTGGAGCTCCAAAATGAGTGCTAACAGCAATGTGGCTCCTTTAAATCATCACACATTTTTTGAATATTAAGCATGGCTTAACTGCCCAATCCTTAAAGCCCACTGCTGTCTTGAAAAATTCAGTGGCAAAATTTTGCTTTCTACTTCAATTTGATTTGATACATTTCTCCCATCCCCTGCTCTCACAGGGTTCTCATCACCTTCCTGACGCCCCCCAACTCAAAGTCTGCTGTCACCTCATGTTCCCTCATGCTCATCACATATCTACATATCTCTCATATCCTCCCCCTGCCCCAATCACACGCTCATTCCTGTCCCCAACACATTTCAAGTACCAAATGGGGTCACTGTGGTTAAAAAGTGGAGGAAACACTGCCAACATTTTCAGCAACACACATTGCAAAACTGTTCAAATGGAAAACAACCTGATAGCACAGAATTGAAATATAAACAGAAAAAAATGACAGTTGATAGTTCAATATTTTAATCTGCTTGTATCATTAACATGGCTGTTAACATGATCTGAATCTCATGAACCTACATTCTACAAAAGACCAAATAACTTCTCTGCCCTGCCAGTATACCTGGACCACTTTCATGGGATCTGGCTTCACTGACAAGACCAATATTTGTTACCCATCCCAAATTGAATGGTTTGTCCTGTAACTTCTGGATGGTCCCAGTCACATTACTGTAGGTCTATGGTCACACGGCCAGACCAGGTAACAACATCAGTTTCAGTCCCAAAAGGACACAAATGAACAAGGTACAGTTTTACAACAATTATTCATAATTTCATGATCACTATTACAGAAACTAGCTTTACATCATGAGTTCATTAATTGAATTTAAATTCCACCTGCTCTCATGGTGGGATTTGAACCCATATCCCCAAAGCATTAGCCTGGGTCTCTGAAATACTAGCCCAGCGATTTTACCACTGCTCCAACATCTCTCCAGAATTCCAAATGGGTGCAGTGGAACAGCTGCAAAATTCAGGACCAAAGTGAGCAGCTTCCCTGCAGGCTTCGATACCCTGCTGTCATGGTCTAGTGAAGTTCAGAACCTACACTGGATGTGAACAGTCACCAAGTTTTGATGTCCCCCAGACAGGGTGATTAATGGAAAACTTCATTATAAACTTCATAAAAAATATAAGCAATAGTTTCTGCTGTTGCCAGTGTAGGTAGTAAACTTAAATTTGCTGGGTGAGCCAAATGAGATAAACATAAAAAGAACACATTGAAAGGTCAATTGGTCAGATGGCAACTTAACTATTCAACGTGCAACCAGCTGCCAGTACAAGGGCACAACAACATTTCATTGAGTGTTCTCAGAGTAGTAATTAACCTCCATTGTGTTTCTAGGCCAGTTTCCAATAGCAAGCATCAGCCTTTAGTTTTGTTCTCATTTTTTTTTGAAAGAAGGTGCTGTTAAAAATTCAATTCTCAACTTCAACTCAGTTCCAAATCAAAATTCAGGAAAATAAACAACAAATAATGATGGTCTCAACAACAGTCCTAACTGATCCACTACCTTTTCACACACCAATCCTGCAATCCCAGGAATCAGTATAGTAAACCTTTGATGCATTCCCTCCATAGCCAGAACATCGATCTTCCGATATGGTGACCAAAACTACACACAATATCCTCGGTGCAATCTCACCAAGGTCCTGCACAATTGCAGCAAGACATCCTTGTTCCTGTACACAAATCCTCTCATTATTAGGGCCAATAATTCTAGGAATAACAAAACTTTGTTGAGGATGGATTGAAGAATTTTGGACTATTCTTGTTGGAGAGAAGGCGGCTAAGAGAATACTTGTTGGAGATTTTCAAAATCATGATCTGACTGGATAGAGTAGGTATGAAGAAGTTCACACTCGTAGAAGAAAAAAAGAATGAGGGTAACGTCAGAAAAATCTTTGTCACACAGCACGCAGCATGCAGCACACAGCGCTGCCTGGAAATCTGGAGAAGGCAGGTTCAAGTGTTCAGGATGTGGGAAGAAGGCTGGAGATTAGAACTCAATAATAGAATAACTGTAGGCACAATGGGCCAAAAGGTCTCCTTCTGCATTGTAACAATTCTGCAATTCTGTGATAGTTCTTTCATAATACTATGTTTGCTTTGTCTGACTGTATTATGATTTTTTTAAAAACTCCATCAACTACTTCCTTAATAACAATTCCAGCAATTTCTGAATGACAGATGATGTGAAGTTGGGTAGCGTATTTATAAATTGGAAGGCAGGATGTTAGAATTGGATGTTTGTAAAGTGATTGGGTGAGGTGGGGGGAGCGGGATTGTGTGGTCCCTTTAAAAGATGGTGTGTTCTTTTTAGGCTTGTAGATTTAAAAAAACATGCAGGTGCACAGACAGCTCCTGAAATTGAAACATTGTATCAAAGGCTGCGTGGTTAACAACCCAGGCAGTAGTTTGTGTTGTTTTGAAAATCAACCAATTAACTTAAGCCAGGCACTTAGAGACTAAAAACCAATTAAATTTAAAATCTGATGATTTTGACAATCTAGGACCAATCCTACTGTAAAAAATTCATAGGTCATCAGGGGTATAAAAGAAGAAGGCCTTTGAAAATTGGTGAGAGAGCAATTGCCACCTACTAGAGTTAACAAGCCATCAGCTCTAAAGAGAAAATCACTGGCTCTCTCAGAATTCTCTAAACTCTCAGAATAACCATCATTTAACTAAAGGTAATGCGGCACTCTTAGCTAACATTCCTGACACAAGAAGTCAACGGAGAGAGGCGTTCCTGACATAAGAAGTCGATGGAAAAAGGTGTTCCTGACTAGGAATAGCAGAGAGAGCGCGGAGCATTCTGGATGACGTATCCTGGCTGTAATATCGAGAGACTAAGTTTTAAGTTTTTTTTAATTGATTTGGTTTATTTAAGGGGGACTTGTACCTATTGGAACAGCATACCACGAGAATTTTGTTTTATTTGGGAACAGTTAGTCGTTATGGAAGAATTGTTCAGTTTGTTAATAGTTCTGTTAATTTGTTCACTGTCAATAGTTAGGCAAATAAATTGTTACTTGTTGATTATAAAGGGACTGTCAGGGGTTCACTTCATTTAACCTCCCCTTTATAACAGGTTGAAAGATGAGAGCAGGTTATATCATTTTTCACACTTCTTTTAACAGATTATGAGGCAAGGCGAGCCTCTCTGGGTATTTCGATTTTATTTATCGGAGTTAGGGCGGGGAGGTGGAACTCCGCTTCATAACACAAACATTCAGCTAACTGGTCTATAGTTTCTGATCTTTTTGTCTTCTGTCTTCATTGAATAGAGGTTATCCAATCTATTGAGATTGAGACAGCAAGTAGGGAATTTTGGAAGGTTATACCAGTGCATCCTCTATTTCTGCAGCTACTTTTTTAAAGCCCTAGAATGAAACCCATCATTTGTAGAGAAATTGGAGCCCTCATCTCATTATCTTACTAAAGTATTTTCTCTTGTGATAGTGATGGAAAATGCTAGAATCCATTATTGAGGAAGAAATGGCAGCACATTCAGAAAAGCTTAATTTGATTAAAAAGAATCAACATGGTTTTGTAAAAGGGAAATCACGTTTGATGAATTTACCAGAGTTCTTTGAGGATACAACAAGGAAAATGAATCTGGTAGATACACTGTATTTGGATTTCCAGAAAGTATTCAATAAAGTGCCACATAAAAAGTTATTACACAAGATAGGCATTCACAGTGTCAAGGGACGGTGATATATTATGGCGCCTGAGTATCTTAGAAAGTACATTGACCACGGATGCCCAGATTTCATTTGCGAGATCTGCTCCAAGCCTATCACATTAGTATGGTGATAGTGCTACACAACACAATGCGAAGATGGGATTTTGTCTCCACAAGAAATGTGAGGTGGTCACTCTTACCAACATTGTCATGGACAGATGCATCTGTGGCAGGCAGATTGGTGAGGATGAGGTCAAGTATGTTTTTGCCCTTTTGTTGGTACCCTCATCACTGGCCATTGACCCAGTCTAACAGTAATGTCATAGAGCCATGCAGCATAGAAGCTGACCCTTCTGTCCAACCAGTCCATGCCATGTAATTCCAAACTCAACTAGTCCCACCTACCTGCTCCTGAACCATATACCTCTAAACCTTTCCTATTCATGTACTTATCCAAATGTCTTTTGAACGTTGTAATTATATCCACATCCACCACTTCTTCAGGAAGCTCATTCCACATTCGAATCACCCTCTGTGTAAAAATTTTCCCCTCATGTCTTTTTTTAAACCTTTCTCCTCTCACCTTAAAAATGTGCCACCTAGTCTTGAGATCCCTTAGCCTAGGGAAAAGACAACTACCATTAACTTTATCTATACGTCCTATTATTTTATAAACTTTTATCAGGTCGCCTCTCAGCCTCCTACACTCCAGTGCAAAAAGTCCCAGCCTTCCTTTATAACTCAAATCTCCCATACCCAGCAACATCCTGGTAAATCTCTTCTGAACCCTCTCTACTTAATAATATCCTTCCTATAACCGGGTGACAAGAACTGGACACAGTATTCCAGAAGAGGCCTCATCAATGTCCTGTACAACCTCAACATGACTTCTCAACTCCTGTACCCAAAGGACTGAGCAATGAAGGCAAGGGTGCCAAATGCCTTCTTAACCACCTTGTGACGCAAACTTCAAAGATTTATGTACCTGAACCCCTAGGTCCCTCTGTTCTTTACAACACTGTCCAAGGCCCTACGATTAATTGTATAAGTCATGTCCTTGTTTATTTTACCAAAATGTAATACCTCACATTTACTTAGATTGAACTCCAACTGCCATTTTTCATCCCATTGACCCAGTTGATCAAAATCCCCTTGTAATCTTAGAAAATCTTCTTCACTGTCTACTATGCCACTGATTTTGGTGTCATTCGCAAACTTACTAACCATGCATTCTATATTCTATTCAAATCATTTATATAAATGGAAAACAAAAGAGGATCCAGAACCAATCCCTGTGGAACACCACTGACGACAGGCCTCCAGGCTCTCCTCTTTATTTTACATAAACCTCACTGGCTGCTTTTCTCCTGCTAGGTAGTTTGCTTACACATTCTAATTTCTGTCTCTTTTTGTTAAGATCATGCTTTGCTGCTTTGAAATGTTTTTACAATCTTCTGGCCTACCACTAATCATCTCTTCTATTAATTTATAGTATCTATAATTACCTTACTTAGCAATTTTACACCATCCTCTGAGTCTTTCTTTCTCAATGGAATATCTTTGTTGAGAGTAATTAATTAAGACCTTAAATGTATGCCACTGGTAAACTACCATCTTATCTTACCAACCTATTTTCCCAGTCCATTGTGGCCAACTCTGTGTTCATACCTTTGTAATTTCCTTCCCACCCTCGAAATGAACGCAAGATTTGTTCATGCTGTGATCATTCTTGCCTGGAGGATGTCTACTATGAGATCATTCGTTAATCCTGTCTCATCACTCATTTCTGGATCTAAAATATTAAGACACCATAGGTATTTGTAGATTATAATTTCCACTAACCAAGCACAACTTTTTCTTTTCTCTTTCATGTGCGTCTTGAGCAGATTCTAATGTCGACTGATGTATTTGAGACAACTCTTCCATACTGGTTCTGAAAGTCTCTCTTAGATATCTAGTTTCCTCTTCAAGTTTAAACTGCAGACTTGCTATCTCCTCTTCATAATATCGCCTCTGTGTTTCTTTTTCTTCATTTAAGGACTGAAATTACAAAAAAAAGACATTATTACCTTGCAAAGCTCGTCATATATTTCAGGCCTTGCTGGGAATTATAGGAATTGGGCACAAACTTGAAGGACTTTATTTCAAGAGTGTCAATCATCAGGGTGCATTACAATATATTATATTTATCTGCAATTAAGAAATAGGAAGGGTAACAGTAGAATTGAAGGTTTGATATACGGCCATAAAGAATTAAAGAGATAGAGGTGCAGATCTGAAAACATGACAAATAACTATTGTAAAACAGTCCTGCAAAACTTTATACATTTTGGCCAACTTAGATTAGACGAGAATAACGGTAGGGACATTCATCAAAATGAGAATTACTTCAACAAACTGTATTTATACAAGGCCTTTAACAAAAATATCCCTAAGCATGTCACAGCATTAAGACACCAAACAGGCATAGGTTTTAAGAAATGCCTTAAAGAAAAGACTAGAAAGATGAAGAGATATAGATAGGGAATTTCAGAGCAAAAGGCCTAGGCAATCATAGGCAGGGCTACCCATGGTCAGTGAGTCACAAAAGATGAGACTGAAATAAATGGAGCTCACTCGAAGTATTTTGGAGTTGAAGATTACAGAAATATGGAGAGGAAGGGCCTTGGAGGGAAACAAAAATGAGAACTTTGGAATCAAGTTGTTGCTTAACTGAAAGCCAATGAAGGTCAGCAACCACGGGAATTAAAAGTAAATGGCACTGATATGAGTTAAGATGCCAGTTTTGGACAACCTCAAATTTACCGAGTGCAGACTGTGGGAGACTAGCCGGCATGCATTAGAACGCCTAGACTAGGATTGACAAAGGCATGAAAAAAGGTATCAGCAGCCCTGAGACAGGTAAAATCAGATACTCTTATGGCTGTAGTAACAGGCTTATGTGGATATGTGATTGGAAGCTCATTGTGGGGTCAAATAAATACCAAGGTTGCAAACCTGTGGGTCATCACAGTGGCAGCAGTGCATAACATCTACAAGATGCACTACAGCAACTCACAGACTCATCCAATACCACCTTCCAAACCTATAATTATTTATAAACGACAAGGATAAAAGATGAATGAGAACAGTATCAAGTGCAAATTTGCCTGCAAGCCCATACACCAAGTATATATACATATTTACTTGGGATTACAATGTTTTCACTCCCACACAGTCAAAATCCTGGAATTCCATTCCCTAACACCCCAAGGACTTCAGTGGTTCAAGGAATGAGCTCATCATTACCCACTTAAGGGCATTTAACAATGGGCAATAGATGCTGGCCTATCTAGCAACACACACATCCCACAAATGAATAGATAAAACAGATTGATTTAGTCTCAAATTGTTGCCAGGATCAGGAATGCAGTCAGTGCCCAGGGAAGGGTATTGGAATGGGATCCAAAAATCATGCCTTCATTTTTCCAAATATTTAATTGGAAGAAATTTCTACTCATCTGACCTTGGATTTTAGATGAGCAATCTGTTCATTAAGCAAGAGCAGAACAGTCAAGAGAGGTGATGGTGATGAACGGGTGAGTCATCATAAATGACTACTAAACTTACCAAGGGGGAGCATAAGTAATGTATTTTACATTGGGCTACATCATAAATCTAAAAGCCAAAGAAAATAATTTAATTCTGGGAAATCAAATCATATAGGCACAGTTAATAGACAGACGTGGATTTGGGACTAAATAACCATACACTCCCTTAGTCAGAAGCAAATTGTAAAATATTGCACTCCCTAAAAGAACCCAAGCTCATTTGTGACAGTGCTGCTTATTCCTGATTAGGGGCTCTCCTGAATTTGATGTTAATCCATAAAATACTGTATGAAACAGCTCCATTATCTATCTGTAATAGATGTTACCAAAGAGGCACCCTGCAGCAAGGTTAAGGCCTATAATAATTGGCCTCTGTGGTACTGAAAATCAATTCTTAAGATTTGGAATTAGGACATGGTTTTCATTTGCCCTGTAATCTTAAAATAATCTCTCTACAGTTCTTCTTCAATAAGAGAAATGGGAAAAAAGCCATGACATCCAATGAAAATATAATTAAATCTATTGATCAGGGTCTTTTGTTTCAGCCAAGACCTGTTTTGTTCAACTGACCACAATAAATATTGTTTCCCTTTTTATTCACTTGTGTCTGTATTAGTCATAAAGGTTTTCTCCCACAACCAGACAAAAAACCCATTTCATTAATGGGTGGAGGGTATCACTTGAATGGTCACTAATCATGGCCAATCCCTATTGCTTTCGGTGGCAACGAGTCACCTTCTTGAACTCAACTGAGTGGTCAGCTGGGTAACAGCTGAGAAAGAGAGCCAACCAAAGTGTTTTAGGTTTGGAATAACAAACAGAGTGTACAATGAAGTCCATTCTCTGTATCAATTTACAGTGTGAAAGTTTGCAACTGTAGATAGTGTTGTATTTTAGGCACAAAACATTTCAATGTTGGAGCGAGCCAGAAAGATGAACCACCCATAGTTAACAAAGGTGCTCAGAGAGCATCCAATCAAAAACTAGGGCAAACTAGCAGTAAGGCAGAGGATTGGGAATTTCTTTTTAGGAATCGGTAGCAGCTGATTAAAAAGATAATAAAAAGGCAGAATAAAAACAAATCAGCAAGAGATTCTATAGGTATATAAAAAAAAACCAAAGGGAGAGTGGGACCCTCGGACAATGCAACTAGAGAACTGGGAACAGAGAAATGGCAGATAATTTTAACCAATATTTTGCACCTATTTACACGATGGAAGACACTGTAAGCAACCCAAAGATTTCCGATAGGCAAGGTGCTAAAAATGAGGAAAGGTCTTGGAACTATTCCATCATGAGGGACATAGTCATATTAGTTTGTCAAATACTAAGGTCAGACGAGGTGTCAGGACCTCATATTTGTATCCAAGGGTTTTAAAGAAAGTACCTGCAGAGATAGTGGAGGAATTGCTTAAAAACGTAACAGAACTTCCTGGATTCTGGGAGGGCTTGGATATGAATTGTAAAACAGCTAATGTGATACTCTGTTCAAGAAGGGAGCGAGCTAGAAAGCAAGAAACTACACAGCAATTAGTCTAACAATTGACACTGGGAAAATGCTAGAATCCATTATAAAGGAAAGAATAGCAGGGCATTTGGGACAGCTTCACATAATTGAATGTTTTATGAATGGGAATCATGTTTGACAAATTTGTTAGAGTTCTTTGCGGATTTAACAAGCAAAGTTAATAAAAGGGAAACCAATAAGTGCACTTGCATTTGAATTTCCAGAAGGCATTTGATAAGCTGCCTCATGAAAAGTTTTGCACAAGACAGGAATCAACAATATTGGAGGGTAATATATTAGCACGGATTGAGGATCGATCAACAAACAAAAGACAGAGAGTCAGGATTAATGGGTCATTGTTAGGATGGAAAGGCCTTACTAGTGCAATGCCACAAGGATCAATCCTGTGTCCTCAAACGTTCAACTAAATTAATGATTTGGAAGAAGGTGCAGAGTGAAATGTATGCTAACGGCACTAAAATAGGCAAGAGAGCATGCTTTGTTTTTCATAGGATTGAGTAGCAACATCAATTTGAACTTTACATGACTGATTCCAAAGACCTATACTCATTTTTGGTCAAGAAATTGGATAACAGAAGTGAAAAGTTCCAGACAATAAAAGAACATAACCTTCTCAACAGTCAGTAATTGCTGTCTCTGTTGCTCATCCAAGGTCTGGTGGTTGTCTTGCAAGATGCTCTTTTCTTCTTCAACATGAGATAACCTCTCCTTTAATCTGCAATGCTGTGATTCCAGTTCCCGAATTGTAGCTTCGAGGGTCAATTGAGTAGCTTGAAGGGTTCCAATCTGGCCTAAACACAGTACGGTGCAGTTTTATATTTGTTGCTGAGTAGCTTTAACCCATTCTGTTTCAATACTGAAATATTCCTGAAATCTATTCATGGCTCAGTGGTAGCACTCTCACCTCGGAGTTAGAAGGTTCTGAATTGAAGTCCCACTTCATAACACACAACCTTCATTGACACTCCAGTATAGTCTTGAGGGAGTGCTCCACTGCCACATAGACATCTTTCAGACAAGACTTTAAACCAAGGCCACTTCTGGCCTCCTTAATGAACACAAAATGGCACAACTTGAACACACCACCTTGGTTGTCATTCCAGTACAGTCTTGAGGGAGTGCTGCACTGCCACATAGGCATCTTTCAGACAAGACTTTAAACCAAGACCACTTCTGGCCTCCTTGATGAATGTAAAATGACAAAGATAGATTTACTTAGCGCTCTGGTCAAAATCAATATTAGTAAAACAGGTTACCAACTTATCATCACATTGTTATTTCTGGGACTGTGCACAAATTAGCTACTGTATTTCCTATATTATAACAATAATTTTTTCTAAAAATCATTCATTGCCCATTAACTAATTTCAGGCGTCAGGATGTGATGAAAAACAAAGCATACATGTTCTTTTCTCTATCAGATTAATAATTATAAATTAAAACAGATTCACAGAATTGTTACACCACAGGAGACCATTTGGTCCATCGTGTATGCGATGGCTCTCCAAAGTGCACATCGTGTAGTGCCTACCTTCACCCCATAACCCTGCAGGCTATTCTTTTGTAAAATAATCAATAAAATAATAATGCAATTCCCTTCAGAATGCCTCAATTGAACCCGTGTCCATGACACACTCAGACAGTGCATTCCTGACCATAACGACATGAAAAACTTCTGCTTTTCTTTATACTAATTACTTTAAATCTGTGACATGTTGTTCATGAACCTTTCACAACTGAGAACATTTTCTCCCAATATACTCTGTTCAGACTTCTCACGATTTTGAATATTTCAATCAGACCTCCTCTCAGCCTTCTCTTCATGGAAGACAAACTCAGCTTCAATCTATCTTTTCATTACTGAAATTCCTCATCTCTGGAAGCATTCTCAGAAACCTTTTCTGTACATCCTTCCTAAGATATGGTATCCAGAAGTGAATACAATACTTCAGCTGAGACCAAACTAATTTCATTCAAGTTCCACAAAACCTTCTTGTTCTCATCCTCAAATGTACCTATCAATAAAGCCCTGGATAGCATATGCTTTTCTAATTTCCTTTTCAAGCTCTCCTATACCTTTAATGACTTATGCACTATATACCCAGGTCCCTCTGGCCTTGCATCCCCTTCAGAGTTTACTTTTTATTTTATGTTCTCCCACAACATTGTCCTACCAAAATGCACTATGTCAAATCTCCGCATTGACCTTCATCCGACAACTATCTGCACACTCAACCAACTTGTCTACATCCTTTTGAAGTTCTACACTATTCTGCTCAGAGTTTACAATGCTGCCAAGCAAAATATAGCAGTGTGTTTTCTCTTATGGTTTTTCAAAGTTTTCATATTCTCTATAAACAACCTGTGAGATGAAAAATGAACTAATCTGCCATAAGTAAAACTGATACTCGTTTCACAATTTTAATATTAGAAAATGTTCTACTGTGCTTTACAGAGAATTGATTAAACAAAAATGTATGGCAAGTCAAATAAAGTTATGAGAACAGGTGTTCAAAGCATTTTGAGAGTTACATTTTAAGGTAAATCATGAATGACGGGAAATAGATGGAGATGTAAAGGGGATTAAGAAGAGGGCTGCAGACCATGACACCTGAACAGTTCAAGGCACAACTGTCAATGATATGGCAAAAGAAAGGGTGATGCATCAGAAATTAAAGTCAGCGGCATGGAACATTCCAGGTGCTTGTATCAGTGGTGGTTTCAGATATAGAGGAGGAGTGGGGCCACAAAGGGATTTAAACATGAGCAATTTAAAATTTGAGAAGACTGGGAAATGGTTAATCAACGTAGGCCAAGTGTGATTCATATTATGCAGGACTGGATAGGATATGGGCAAAAGTTTGAGTTGAAGTTTGGTAATAGAATTGGCTAAGAAAGCACAGGTGCAACTTATGACAACATGAGGGAGAGACAAGAGAGAAAAACCTAAAAAGCCTTAGGACTGGTGATAGTTGGGCAAGGAGAAGGGAAAAGAAAAATCACTGACTGCTAAACAAATGGCTTTAATCTTAATGCATATAGCATCTATGAGCTCCACACATGACCTCATACAGGAAAAGTCTAGCACAGTCTAAAACTTTATAGCATAGCCAAAACAAAGTCCTAAAAGTGAGGCGGTATTAGGTCAACAAGCAGTCTTCTTTAAAAATAAAAGTGTCATTGTCCCACGAGCTAATACAATTTTTTTTTTTTTTTTTTAAAGAGAAAAGCAAGCGACAACTTACAAAATGAGAAATTAGAGGACATAAGAACCTACTTGAACCCATAATGGCCCGAATTTTCTCATCTGGGTGATTTTTATATTTATGATCCAGATCAGACAAAAAGTTACAGAAATTTTATGGTAAAGCATCCAGGCCAGAAGTCCTTCAGCAGCACAGTCCAGTGCAGCAATCAATGCAGGTAGCAGCAGCATGGATTAGTATTGGAGCCACACACCCATTTTCAGTAGTAGCTACTTTCTGTTTTTAAACCTACTTTGTCAGCTACTGACAAAAGATAAGTGTTAATGGTAAGTAAGGGGGTAGGGAACCAAGTGGGTTAGAGGGTAGGATGCCAGGTGGGTGGTGACCATAGCTGCCAAACGGATACAGGAGTGAAATCAAAGCAGCCTGTAATATCTCTAATCTTTCCTGGTTAGCTATTAATGTAAAAAAGTCAAAACTCTTCCAAACTCTTCGATGCCAACTCAGATTTGGAGACTTTTCTTGAAGGTTCTAGACACCAGCTAATTGCCCATCAAAGGTTTCTCAGAGTCAGCTGCATTAGGACTTATGCATGGTTCCCTTTCACCGAAGGGTAGACTATCTTCCTAACAGAAGATCTGGGCCCTATTCTATAAGTCTGATATAGCTCAGGTTCAATAACCTTAAATTTTTGTTTGTTTTGAAATCAAATTAGCAGTTAATATCCCATTTTTTTGAGTTCAATATCCACTGCTGCAGCTAAATGAAATGATCAATCATTAAACATCTTTTGATTGGAGAAAAGGCAGTATTCAATTGAAATAGACTCAATGTCTGTTCATGACTGCTGTTAGTTTGTTAGTTGGTTTTTAGTGTAGTGTACTTGTGTGTCCTGAAAGCCACGTTAATTATTAAAAAGGTCCCTGCTTTACAGAAATAAAATGCTTCTTTCCCAGAAAAATAAATTAATCAGCCACACAAACAGAGTGACTTCAAGAACAGATCAGAGACTAGGCATTCAGTGGTGAGCAACTCATCTGATTGCCCATAGCCTGCAAGGCTATGATGGAGTACACCCCCTCCCCACATGCCTGGAAGACTGCAGGTCTAACAACACCCAAGGAGCTCAATGCCATCAAGGATCAGGCAGCCCAATTGATTGGCACTCCATCTATCACCTTAAACATTGAATCCACCACCCCCCACCAAATGTCATGGTAAGATGTGAACCCACATCAGCTTGCACCTCTGAATTACTAGCCCATTGAAGTTTTCACTGCACCATCATCTCCCCCTGCAATCTTCACCATCAAGAATGCAGGTAATATCTCAGATATAGGTGCAAATCAAGACATGGAAGGGAGGGAAGAAGAAGATTGCAATCACCAGGAATTGGTGGAGATGCAGGTTGACAAGTCCCCACATCCTGATGGGCTTCATTCTGGACCTTAAAAAAAGGGCCCAGCGAGACAGTTGATGTGTTGGTTTTAATTAGAAATACAGTCAGTGTCAGTTTAAAGAGTGAACGCACAGGATCCACATCTGCTGGACATTAATACATTGAGGGGGCAGAAACATGTTGCATGTGTTTGCACATGCCAACTCCCTATCACTTGCAATTATTTCTTTGCCCATTTGCAATACACGCGGAATGAACATACTTAGGCTAATATCTTACGGGGAACGGATGTTAGCAGATGTAATAAGTGGTGTACTTCAAGGATTAATGCTGGTGACTTTTTTTTTTGTTAATAATGGACATAAGTGAATTTGATGAAGAGACCAAAGGCATGATTGTTAAATTTCCTGATGATATGTTGTGAGGTTGGCATCAGGAGGTCACAAAGAGTAAATCAAGATCTTGCGACTGGAACACGATGTGGTTAAGTGTGAAGTTGCCCATTTTGGCAAGAAACAGAAATACAAAGCACATTATCTAAACAGTGGAGATTGTAGAGCTCTGTGATACACAGGGGTCTGGGTGCTGTAATACATCATCACAAAAGATTAGTATGCAGATTCAGTAAGTAATAGGAAGGCTAACAAAATGCTATTGCTTGCTGCAAAAGGAAGTGAAGTAACAAGGTTTACAAACTTATAAAACAGTTGCAGAAATAGGTCATTCAGCCCCTTAAGCCTGCTCCACTCTTCAATAAGACCAAGGCTTGTGTTTTGAATTCTACATTCCTATCTACCCTTGATAATCTTTGATTCCATGCTTAACAACAAACCATTTACCTCTGCCTTAATAAAAATTCGATAATCTAATTCCCACTGCTTTCTGAGGCAAAGTCATAGATCAGTCAAAAAAAACACCTTTCTGGACTCACCTACAACAGGAAACATTCCTCTCCATGTCCATCTTGTCAAGGCCATTCATTATGCTTCAGTGACATAGATGAAACCACATGAGGTGTACAGTATACAGTATTCTTCATTTACAGGAGGAGAATATAAATGTGTTGGATACAGTTCAGAAAAGATTTACTAGACTAATACTAGGAATGTGTGACTTGCCTTTTGAGGAATGTTAAGACTAGGTATGCTTATATCCACTGGGGCTTAGAAGTGACTTAATTGAAACATACAACATCCTGAGAGGACTTGACAGCGCGGATGTGAAATGGGTATTTTCTCGTGTGAGAATCCAGAACTACAGGTCACTACTTAAAAATAAGGGGTCATCCACTTAAGACAAAGTCTCATGACAAACAGATGGAAAGACAGACAGACAGTCTCCTAGTGCTGGAAGACCTAAACACATTTCTTCTCAGAAGTCCTGTTAAGAGGAAATAAAATTGCTAACAGTTGAAAATTTAAATCTGTGTGTTTAGTAATTGGAGGGCATTCAACATAAGATGGTTAAGCATGTTGTCACGTTCAATAGTTACATACCTCGAGAGTTCTGAGCTCCAACTTCAAAAAAAATTATGAAAATGCAGTATACATAGCTTATGTAAAAAAAAACAAGTGATGCTCTTTTCTGAAAGCTAGTAGGAACTGCCGATGCTGGATAATCTGAGATATCAAGGTGTAGAGGTGGATGAACACAGCAGACCGAACAGGAAAGCTGACGTTTCGGGTTGAGACCCTTCTTCAGAAAAGTCTAGTCTTCTTGACCCGAAACGTCAGCTTTCCTGCTCCTCTGATGCTGCTTGGCCTGCTGTGTTCATCCAGCTCTACACCTTGTTATCTCTGATGGTCTTTTCTTCCCATTATGAAGAAAATTCTTTATGCCCTGGGTTAATTTATTTAAAATCTACATTTAACTGTTTAAAAAATTTCTGCAAAACTTAAGAAAAGAGTGTGAATCAGGTAGTGGAGACGTCTTTTTAAATAAATGTGCTTTAAGTATAAAGTGGACATACTTGTTTTAAGTAGCAATTCTGTGGACTGCTGTTGAATGTGATGTTTACAAGCAACCAGTTCATCTTCTAACTGCTTTTGTTTGGCAACAGTACCATCAGCTTTCTGTTGACTGTCTTCCAGCTGTTGCTGAAGCACCTAAAAGAACAGACACCAAATTGTTAAAGAAAAGGTCATGGCTTACAACTGGCCTCTCAATTCAATGTTCCTACAGCATAAAAAGGAAGCTTAAAAGAGAGATACTTAGTTTTACAACTTTCATGCCACCCACGAACCATGACAGTCATAAACGATTCCAAAGCAAACTATACATTTTTTTCTTTCTTCTTTCATGGGAAGTGGGTGTTGCCAGTGAACCGAGCATTTGAGACCCACCCTAAATTCCCTTGAACTGAATGTCTTGTTAAGCCATTTCAGGGAGCAATTAAGAGTCAAGCACACTGCTGGAGGTCTGGAGTCACATGTCGGCCAGAACAGGTAAGGATTGCAGATTTCTCTCCTTAAAGCACACTAGTGAACTAGTTGATGGCCATCTCTTGACACCATTACTGACACTAGCTTTATATTCCTGTTTTTCTTCTTTTTAATTAATTCAATAATCTAAACTCGCCCAGGTGCAGTGATGGGATTTGAACTCATGTCCCCAGAGAATTTGTCTGAGTTGTGGATTACTAGTCCATCAACCTTACCGTTATGCCACAACTTTTTATAAAATGTCATGCAAGAGGCTACTGCACAAAATCAAGACATTTGGGATTGGTGATAATAAACTGGTAAGGTTTGAGAATTAGTTAGCAGACAGGAAAATGGTTGTAGGAATAAACAGGTGGTTTTTGGAGTGGAACATAGTGACAAGTGGAGCATCATAGAAAATAATGTTTGGGCCCCAGTTGTTCACAATACATATTAATAATTGTGATGAGGGAATGGAGTGCAATAATTCCAAATTTGCTGATGATACAAAACTAGATGGGATTGAAAGTAACAAGGAGACTCGGTTATAGAGTCATACAGCTGTACAGCATGGAATCATACCCTTCGGTCCAACTTGACCATGCCGACCAGATGTCCTAAATTAATCTAGTCCCATTTGCCAGCATTTGGCCCACATCCCTCTAAACCTTTCCTATTCATACCCATCCACATATCTTCTAAATGTTGTAACTGTACCAGCCTCTATCACTACCTCTGACAGCTCATTCCAGGATATAAAGATTCAGGACAATTTAGACAAGTTGAGTGAGTGGACAAATGCACGTTAGGTGCAGTGTAATGTGGATAAAAAGTGTGAGACTGTCCATTTGGTAGGAAAAACAGAAAGCAGAATATAGTTAAATAGTGATAGATTGGGAAAGACCGACGTGGAAAGGGAACTGAGTGTCCTTTTACACTGGTCACCAGTGTTCCCTCTGATTCTTTTTAAAGGCTGCACAGGATTCTGAGGCCCATGTATGGCAGCAGCTTCTGGAACTGGAAGTCAATGTCACGATCAGTGTACCCACCTTGATCATTTTGCGCTGAACATTGGAGTGGCATGGAACATTGCTCGTCACTGAAAGTGTGCATGCAGGTGCAGCAAGCAATAAGGGAGGCAAAGGATATGTATGCCTTCACTGCAGAAAGATTTTATACCGGACCAAAAAAGTCTTACTGCAACATTATAGGGCATTGAGAAGATCATGCCTGAAGTATTGTGCGCAGTTTTGGCCTCCTTTTCCAAGAAAAGGTGCACTTGCCATAAAGGGACTACAGGGAAATTTGAACAGACTGATTCTTGAGATGTCAGATTTGTTGTACGAAGAGACCCTGGGTGGAATGGGTCTGTAATTTCACTAGTGTTTATAGAAGTGAGAGATGATCTCATTGAAACAAAAAATTCTAACAGGCAGGACAGACTGGATGCAGGGATGATGTTTTCCCTAACCAGGGATTCCAAGACATAGGGTCACTGTCTCAGGATACACGGTAGGCCATTTCAAACTGAGATGAGGAGAAATTTACATACTCAGCGAGTGGTGTACCTATGGAATTCTCTACCTCAGAAAGCTGTAGCAACAAAGTCACTCAATACATTTAAGATAGAAATAGGTGGTTTTTTTAGAGGCTAAAGATGTCAAGAAGTAAAGGAAGAGTGTGGGAGTATGGCTTTAAGTTGGAGGATCCTATTGAATGGCAGAATGTTACACTGTTTTCCAGATGAATCTTTAAAAGACAAAGAGTGACTATCTTTTTCACCTTTGCCAAACTTTTAGTGCAAGTGCTGACCAAAATCTAGTTAAAGATGTATCTGTCACACCCCAGCCTCCCCACTGCCTTCAAGGATTAAATCCTGTGAAACAATAATAGATCTGGCTATGCATGAACAATCTGATGCAGGTTGGTGAAGATAAGGAAACATGGAGAGCATGGATGCTTGCTACAGCGGTGAATAGCTCAAGTTGGAAAATTTCCAAGCTCACTGCTCCTGGTTGTAAAAAGATCCCTAAATTGTTCAACCTTTGCTGTGGGGTGGAATGGGGCTGCATGATAGAGTTAAACTGGCCATACTGAATGCAACTGCAGTCAGCCAGAAGGTGATGACGTATCCGGGCAACCTGGTTAGAAAACCCACCTTGGTGCTCTGGAATTTTGGCCCAGTGGTTTGTGACATCTTACACCTTCTAAAATCCTCAAACCCAACTAACTCCTCATCATAACTCAGGTTGATGTAGTATTAATACCAATGGATGAATAATCTAGAACCCCAGGCTTTTGTTCTAGGCACACTGGTTCAAACTAGGGCTTGGCAGAGGGAAAAATTTGAATTCAATAAAGATCAACAATAAAAAGCTAACCTATTGCAATTATGTAACCACAAGGAAGGAAATCTGTCATCCTCACCTGGTCTAGATAACATATGACTTCAGGCCCACAGCACTGTGGCAGACTCTGAACTGCTCTGTAGGGAATTACGGATGGATAATCAATGGCTAGCTATGCCCACATCCCTTGAATAAATGAACAAAATCATCTATCCCTATGCCTGCTTACAGGCCATCATGCAACCACCCATGCCCCTAATTCTAACGCATTGCCTTTCCATGCCCAAACACCCAATATACATTACATACAGAACAAATGAATCCAATCTTAATAATGCCTTGTGCAGTGTTTAAAAAAATCCATTCACAAATCATCTCTTGAAATAGAATTGTTGTTTTTATAACCCCAGAGAGCAACAAACAGACAATTTAAATGTCTATAACAGAAGCAAAATTCTGCTCTTCATCTTGTGAAAATAACATTGACAAAAGAGTTCACACATAAAAAAGAAACCTGAATTTAATCAAATAAAAATGTCTATCAAGCAAAGTCAGCAGCTCTCCCTAGTTGACCTAAACTTTTAGAGCCTGGGTTGCATGCTTGGCTGATGGGTATCAGGAATGTGAGTGAAATTCCTGCAATCAGATCATGCCCACCATTTTAAAATAGCTCTGGAGTTGTTTCAACTTTGCAAAATCCCGAGAAATGGCCTCTATAACTTTTCTTAATTAAACAAGTTATTGGGGATATCTGGACAGTGTTTTAAAAACAACTAATGATGCTCTGAAAGCAATTCACAAAGATTTTATTGCCTCAGTATGTAAAAGTTATCCAAGCATGTTACATCTTACTTTCTAGAAGGATTTCCTTACTTAAAAAAGACAGTCTAACAGCTAATCCAATGTATTCATTATATAAATAATTAATGATTCACAATATTAATTTTATGACCTAAGATATCTGAAACAAGAGTATAGGCAGAACTCCTATTTTATATACTGAAGTTACTCATGGTATATCAGCATAAAATAAAACAAAACTGGCTTCAATTCTTAATGGAGACTAATTCAGCCATAACTAGGGTTATATGCATCCTTTATCTTGGGTTGTACTTTGATAAAAACATGAAGAGCAAATGTTGCTTGAACTAATCATTAATATAAGTTCTTACTTGTACATTGTTTTCTGCTTTGTTTAATGCTTCTTGAAACTGTTCACATTTGTTCCTCATTTCATTGTCATCCTCCTGAGTGAGCTGCAATTCTGCCTGCAGCTCACCTAATGCCTTTTTTAAATCAATCTCTTGGATTTGAAATTCCATCTTTAGCTGAGTTTCCTTCTTTTTCCATTGAAGCAAATTTTCTGAGGAGTGTCGAGATTTTAAAGCTTCAATCTCATGCTCATAAAAGGCTTGAGCTTTGCTCAATTTGGCTTCAAATTCTTCCACTAGCTTTTGCTTTTCAAGTGTAAGATCTTGAATTTTAGTATTCGCAGCAGTTAGCTCATCTTTGAGCAGCTGCTGTATCTTCTCCTGTTGTTTACTTGAAGTTTCATGCTGGTCATGATGTGTCCTTAACAAATTCTGGATCTCAAGCTTGTGAGCTGCCTGCAAATCTTCCACAGTTTGTTGTTTATTCTCTCCTAACTGGGTTTCTAATTGGATAAAGTGTTGTAATTTATCATCAAAGTTTTCCTTAATTTCTTGGATATTTCTAGACATAATCGCAACACCTTGCAATTGATGAGTCTCTGTAGCAAGCCGTGCATCTTCTACCTGCTGCTTATAGGCTTCAAATTCTGCGAGTGCTTGCTGTTTCATCTGTTCATGCTGTTCCAGAGATTCTTCCAAAGATTGAATTTTCTTCCGTAATTCTGTTTCTCTATCGATTTTATCCTTATAGTGGAGAATCTTCTCTTTTGTTTCATCAAAGATTTGTTGGATTTCTTCCTCATGTGCCTCTTTGAGTGCCTGGATAGCAATCTCGTGTTCATCATTTTTAGTATTTAAGGCATAGATCACCTGCAGAAACAATAAAAAGCACTATACTAATAAGGTTAATTAATGAGTCACGGCATTGTTTTCACAAGAGGATTTGCTACTTTGTAAGGACTTTACATAAAACATAGTGTTGTATGATGTAAGTAACATTTGCACCCTGGCTGTCCTTCATGAATGGGAGAAAAGATCCTGTCTTGCAGAGAACTATCTTAGCCCTGAACTTAAAACTTTCTTCAGTTTCTCACAGAGAAACATTGAACTTGGGAGAAGTAGGCGATTTGGCCTCTTGAATGTGTTCCGCCATTATATAAGGCCATTACGGAGCATGTACCTCTACCTTTCTCCCTTGATGTCACTAGTATGCAGATATCTACCCCCATCTGTGTCTTGAGCATGTTCAATATTGAACTTGGAGCTTCTATAACTTCATGGTATAGAAAGTTTCAAAGATTCTCAAACCTCAGAGACGAATCTCCTTGTCTCAGCCTTAAATGCCTGTCCTTTATTGTGAGATTATGTTCCCAGGGTCTAGACTTGCCAACCAGAGGAAGTATCCTACCATAGCTACCCTGTTACACTTTGTAAGAATTATGTAAATTTCATTTACATTGCCCCTCATTCTTCAAAACTCAAGAGAATATAGGCCTAGTTTCCTCAATCTCTCCTCATAAAACAATCACACCATCCCAGGGATTAGTCTGGAGAACCTCTTTCGCAATCTCTCAATGGCAAATATATTCTACCTTAGATAAAGGAAAAGAGATCTACACGATATGCTAGATGTAATATCACCAAGGTAACTTTAGTTCTGTACCCAAATCCCCATGCAATTATAGGTGATGATTAGACAATAAGGGTGAAACAGGGAATTCCATGTTCAAAGCAAAATTAAGAGAGCAGACTTCACCAGAGAACAGCAGGAACCTGACATAAAGGCTTTGGGAAACGTGAAAGATTATTTGGTTAGGAGACAGAGGTGGGGGGGAAATAGAATAAACAGAAAAGGGTTGAAGCAAACAGTACCAGGCTAGGCTAAGATCAAGCAATCCCTGGCTGGGTGAATTAACACGTGCCCAGGATTGGAAACATCTGTTTATTATAGCATTATGTACTGACAAGATTGAAATTTGCAGACATGACAGGAAGTGTATAAATCGATAAACTTCTTAAATTCGGCACTGTTTTCACTTCAGCGAGACTAACGTTGACTATTTCCCTGCATATGACTGAATACATAATCAAAAACCTGTACTCAATATTCTGTGGCCGATCATTGGAAATAATCACAACATCATGAAGGTCAGCAAACCATCTGCCTTTCTTATTGATTGCTGAACTTACCCACTAGCTTTTAGTGACTCATGAACAAGGGTCTCTAAGTCCATTTTGATATCAACCCTTGCCAATTTTTACTACAGGAATGTAGGAGGTTGAAATGTGATCTTACAAAAGTTTATAAAACCATGTGAGGTATAGAAAGGGTTAAGGTAGGTGCCATTTCCCTCGGATGGGGGATTTCAAGACTATGGGGCACATTTTCAAAGTGAGAGGACAGAGATTTAAAAAAGACATAAGGAGCAAATCTTTTATCCAGAGGGTGATACGCAAGTGGAATGAACTTCCTGAGAAAGTGATGGACGTGGGCACAATTACAACATTTAAAAAACATTTGGATGAGTACACAAATAGTAAAGGTTTGGGGGAATATGGGCCAGGAGCAGGCAGGTGGGACTGGTTCAGTTTGGGATTATGGTCGACATTGGATTGATTGGATGGAAGAGTCTGTTTCCACACTGTATAACTCTACGACACCACCACTGAAGAAATCCTCTGCCTTTCAGTTTTTCTTAAACCATGTGAATAACTTGTTATATTCATGTTGTATTCCATCTGCCAAGTTCTTGCCATTTATTTAGCCTATGTACCCTTGAAGCTTCCTTGCATCCTCCTGACAGCTCACATCACCACCTAGTTTTTGTGTCATCAGAAAATTTGAAGTAGTTCTTTTTGTCCCTCAATTGTGAATAACCATAGCCTAAAGTCTGATCATTGTGTTACCCAACTAACAGCAGCCAGCTATTGTTAGAATGACTCATTTATTGTTACACTCATGTTTATATCCATTAACAAGAATCTCAATCAATAGTAGTATATCCCATCCAATTCACATGTGCCCTAATTTTGTTTGCTAACCTCCAGCATGGAACCTTATCAGAAGCTTTCCAATAACCTAACCACAAACACTGGTTCTCCTCTATCAATATTACAAGTAACATTCTCAAAACAATTCCAACGATTTTGAGAGAGCAAGAACTGCAAATGCTGGAGTCAGGTTTTGGGTGGGGACCGAACCGAAACATCAGCTTTCCTGTTCCTCTGATGCTGCCTGGCCTGTGTTCCTCCTGCTCCTCAATTTGTCATCTCCAACAATTCTGATTTCTCTTTCATAAATCCTCTTGAACTCTGCCAATGATATAACTATTTTATAAGTGTCTAGTTAGATCTTTATATAGATTGTAACAATTACCCTCCAACTGATGTCAGAATAAAAGGTATGTAGTTCTTAGTTTTGTCTCTCAGAGGATGGAACAGAAGCATGGAACAGAAGCACAGCAACAGGCCCTTCAGGCTAATATGACCATTATATTGTTCTAAACAAATCTCCCATCTACCTGCACATGGTCCATATCCCTTTATTCCCTGCCTGTACATGTTTAAATGCCTCTTAAGTATTGCTATCACATCTATTTCCATCACCTCCCCAGGCACGTTCTACTCTTTGTAAAATCTTGCCTCACATATCTCCTTTTAACTTTCCCCCTTTCACCTTAAGGCTTTGCCTCTGAGTATTTGACATTTCCACTCTGGGAAATGATTCCACTATCCACCCGATCCATGCCTCCCAAAATTTCATAGGCTGCAATCAGGTTCTCCCCCCACCTCAGGTCTCCAACACTCTAGCAAAAACAAACAAGATTGTGCAACCTCTCCTAACAGCCAATACACTCCAATCCAGGCAATATCCTAGTAAACCAACCTTGCACCTTCTCCAAAGACTCCACATCCTTCCTGCAGTGTGGCAACTAGGACTGAGCACAATAGTCTAAACATGGCCTAGTTCAAGTTTTATAAAGCTGTAACATGACTTGCCAACTTTCCGATGAAGGCAAGCATACCGTATGTCTTCTTTACCACCTTATTAATGTATGTTGCCACTTTCAGGGGCTACAGACTTGCACCCAAAGTCTCTCTATACATCAATGTTCCTAAGGGTCCTGCCACTAAATGCATACTTTCCTCTTGCATTTGACCTCACAAATTCATCACCTCACAATTGTCTGGATTAAACTCCATTGCCATTTCTCTTCCCAACTTTCCAACTGATTTATATCCTGCTTTGACAACATTCTTTGTTATCTACAATTCCACAAATTTTTGTGCTATCTGTAAATTTACTAATCAAACCACAATTTTCATCCAAATTATTTACATATTATGAACAACAGAGATCTCAACACTGATCTTTGCAGAACACCACTACTATAGACCTCAAGTCAGTAAAACACCCCTCCACAACTGCCAAGACAATTCTGCATCCCACTTACCAACTCACCATGGATCCCATGTGACTTAATATCCGGACAAGACTACCATGAGAAACCTTGTCAAATGCTTTAGTGAACTCCATGCAAACAAAATCTGCTGCTCTTCCCTCAATCATTTTTGTCACTTCCTCAAAAAACTCAACCAAATTTGAGACAAGACCCACCAGCACAAAGCCATGCTGACTATCCCAAAAAAAAATCATTCTTTTCCAAATGCAAGTAAATCCTGTCCCCAAGAATCTCCATCAATAATTCCCCCACCACTGATGTAACGCTTGCCAGCCTATAATTTCTTGGATTATTCCTGCTGCCCTTCTTAAACAAAGGAACAACATCGGCTGCCCTCCAGTCTTCTGGGGCCTGACCTATGGCTAAAGAGAATACAAAGGTAAAGGCCCCTTAACGTTTTTCAAGACATCCAACACCTTTACCTTCTTAATATCAGCATACCATAGAATATCAACATACCCCTCCCTAATCTTACCATTATCCATGTCTTCCTTCTTGGTGAAGTCCTCATCAAGAATTTCAAACACACCCCCTACCTCCAGGCGTAAATTCATTCCTGTGTCCTTAAGTGAATCTACTCGTTCCTGAGCTATCCTCTTGCTCCTAATTAACATATAAAATACTTTGGGATTCCCCTTAATCCTAGGACATTTCACGGCCCATCTTAGTCTTTTATTTCCTTGTTTAAGTTCTTTCCTATTTCCTCCGTATTAGTCAAGGGCCTTGTCTGATTTCAGTTTCCTAAACCTTACATATGCTTCCTTTTTCTTTTTGACTAAACTTGCTGTCTCTCGTCATCTAGGGTTCCTGAATCTTGCCATTCTTATCTTTCATCTTCACAGGAACATGCTGGTCCTGAACTCTGGTCAATTGGCCTTAAAAAGACTCCCACATGTCAAATGTGGATTTACCCTCAAACGGCTACCCTAGTTTCTCCAGTTCCTGCCTAATACAGTTGCAATTAGCCTTCCCCCAATTTAGCGCTTTCACCCGAGAACCAGTCTTACCCTTATCCACAATTATCTTAAAACTTATGATCACTGTTCCCAAAATGCTCCCCCACTGAAACTTCAATCACCTGGCTAGATTCATTCCCCAATACAAGGTCGTGTACAGCCCCTTCTCTAGTTGATCTCTCTTCACATTGTTTGAAGGAGGTCTCCTGGATACACCCAATAAATTATGCCCCATCTGAGTCCCTGGCTCTACAGACGCCCCAGTGAATTATCATGGAAGTTAAAATCACCCAGTACAACAAACCTGTTGTTTTTAACATCCTTCCATTATCTGCCTACATATCTGTTCCTCCATCTCCTGCTGGCTACTGGAAGGCCTGTAGTGCAACCCCATCAAAGTGTTTGCACCTTTATTATTCCTGAGTTCTACCGACATGGCATGACAGGATGA